ATGGATTCCCAAACTTTTTTGTCAGCCGAACTCTAAAATATGTTCTTGCCCTTCAAAGATTCCACTAAGAAGTTAATATTTAATTAATTCAACCACACAATCACATGTTCGCGGTTCTCTGCTGTCAGTTTATGGTTACATGACATGCAATAAAATAAAATTGAATTGTACATTTTTATGACCAATCATTAGCTTTTCCTCGACTCACAACCCCCCTGCAGCTTAATAATAATAATAATAGTAATAATAACAAATGAAAGTCCAAAAAACTTTGTTTGTTTATTTATAAAGCACAATTAAAACAATGTAACATTGACCAGCAAGTTACAGCAAATAATGAAAAGTAAAATATGTAAAAAGTATTAGAAAGAAAACTCAAGTAAACAGGAAATGCACATGTGCCTTTAAATTCATACTTTAACAAAGTTCCAACTCAAGATTTAGATTGTTACATTTAAATCCCTGTTATTTGGGTATTTTAATTTTACATTGTTCATGCAAAATTACTTTAACTCATGAACCCCCCCTGCGGTTCCCTCAAGAACCCTCAAAAATATATAAATAAATACATAAAAAATAAAATGATATATTAAATATTTGTAAATAAAATAATAAATGCATAAATAAATAACAAAATGTAAAATATATTAATATATATATATATTAGTTTCAAGTAAATGCAAATGTGCCTTAAAATTCACAAATCAGCAAGGTGCTTTATGAAATTCTAAATCAAAATTTGGATGGGTAAATTGTTGTTGTTTGGGTGACTGTTGGGCCAATATTTATTTGTTAAATAAATAACTCATTGCTTATGCCTGCACACAAATATAAGTAATATGTTTCAGAATAATTTAGTTGGAAGAGTTAAGTCTATATTCCTGAGCAAATCAGAGGAACTGACAGACCAAAAATCAAAGCGCAACACAGCTGTAAACATCAAATTATGTGTAATATATCATTGTCTATTGCATGGCTTCCCAGGTCTTTAACAGAAATTCTCACAACCAATCAGAAGGTGGAAGATACAATTCGATATTTAATTGAAAATGTTGGTAACACTTTATTTTGACAGTCCACTTTAGACATTCAACTACCTGTAAATAACTTTGCAACTACATGTCAACCAGCAGTCATTAGAGTATTAGTCGCCTGTCTGCTTAGTACTGTATCTACTAGCTTTATTTTGATGGTCGCTCAACAGACATTCTACTGACTATAAGTAACTGTGCAAGTACGGCAACTTATAGCCTCACCTAACAGTCTACAAATGCTCTAATGAGAGTTAGTTGTCATGTAGTTGCAAAGATGCTTACAGTTAGTAGAATGTCGAAATAAAGTAAATGATTTCACTCACAAACTGTCTTAATGATGTTTGCATTATCAGATGCACTGTAGGACCATGTGGAAACGAACATCCCTGCTGAGGGACTGATGAAGACATGACAATGCATGTGTTTACAACTCCATTATTAATGCACAGCTTGGTTTTGATGACGCTGAACATTTATAAGAGTCCTGCTTGATTAAATGCATTGGTGAATGCCGAGGCAGAAAAAAAAAGTGAATGAATGAGTGGTGCATTTTCTCCTCTTTTCGCTTTTATTTTCATTCTAGGCCTGTAGATTGGAAGCTTGTTCTAATTTAGTCGGCTCTGTTTGCACTACTGAGGGAATCTACATGAGACTGGAAGGCAGCTGGTGGCCAATTTGTAGAAAACTTTTTTTGCGAGGAGTTGTCTTGCGCTCTCTTTCTGTCTCTCGGGGCCCCAGCAGCAGTGCACTCAACAATGAAACCAGCCAATAATTGCTTTGCCTGAGGATCTAGCATGTCTCTCGCCCCCACCAGTATGCTAGCACTGACAACATACAGCCTGGGGAAAAGCCAGACGCTCGTGTCTAGAGGGCAAGACGATGGCTGACAAAAGCACAGTGGGGCGCCTGCTGCACCATCAACATGCCGCGGGAGAAACGAGGGAAGGGGGTTTGTCTTTGGAGGATAGAACTGGATTTTTAGTGCTAAATGTGCTGTTACAGAAGATGTTTCAGCATATCTTGTGTAAGAACGAGTGTGACGGTACATTATGTGGGCCTCATATAAATCCATGAAGAACGTGTTGGGGTTTAATATACAGTTGTCTTCTTTAAAGCGATTGTATCATAATTTTTTTTATCATTTCAGATGTTCACTTGTAGGTTAAGAGATCATGACCACTTTGCACCCTTTCTCAGAATTAAACAGGCTGTTTGTTGCATTTATTGCATGAATAGATGTTCTTTTTTTAGATTAAGGAGGACATTTTGAATGTTGCGGTGTATTATTAAAATATAGTAAACTGTTTGATTTTAAAACAACGTCTGTGTTTGTTTGCTCCAGACAAACTGTCAGTTTGTGTGGCTATTAGTTGTTTGTCAGTGACCATTTGTGCAAGTTACATTGTTATGCCAGTAGGTGACGTCAAGTGATGGTCTTCGTTATCAATTAATTCAGCTGATTCCTTTAAAAAACGTTGATTCATCATCATCTTGAATTAGATTTTTGGCATAAAAGAGAAATGTATAATTGTGACCCATACAATGTATTGTTGGCTATTGCTACAAATATCCCCCAGCGACTCAACACTGCTTTTGTGCTGCAGGGACACAGATAATGTCATATATTATAATTATTTCAGTACTGAGTAATATTAATTAACAAAATGTCCTTCCTATAGGATTAGGATTAGGGTTTGGTTTATGGTTATTGCATGTAATTCTGCCTAATTTTCTGTTATAGCTATAGAAAGTACATTTAACATGCTGCTTGCTTTGCTTCTTGAGGGCATCAGTGTTGCTGGATGACACCGCAAACCATTTTTACATCATTTTGAGACCTCTTTTGTGCAAAAAACTTAATCACACAACTGCCAAATCACATGAGAATCTGAAACGAGGAAGCAGAAAGATGATATGGTGTGGAGCTGAGATACCAAACCCAAGTCTGTGTCAAACCTGCTATTTTTGGGCGCTGGAAAAAATGATCATGGGAAAAATGAAACACTTCGAACAAAGAATACTTTGCTCTCTGCAGGTGAGAAATGTTGGGCAGATGCACCTGTAAAGGTTGGAGGAGGATGAGAAGGGTTCAGGCTGGCGATGAGGCAGATACACGCAGACTCGTGCATGAATTGCTGTATACGCCGCTGACAGAGAAATTGCTTTTAAACCCCAAGGTGCATGCTTATTTCACAGTCATGTTTAAAAGTCAAGAACCCAATCTTTTTAAAAAAAATCCTCAATCAAAAATAGCTCAGAGGGAAAGCCATCCAAATCAAGAGCCAAGCGTGAGAGAGAGTTTAAGAAACACTGGCAATCGCTGTGCCAGAGGCCACCGTAAACGACAAGGTACACGCTGCCATAATCCCATAATTAAGGCAAATTCAACATAAATTTAGAGTAAAGGAGCTCAATTTGTTGGTTGTATTAAATTAAAAATAGAACACACCAGGGGAACATTAGACTGCTCGTTTTATCATTTTTTTCATGAATTTCTCTTTTGATATTGACGTTTGGAGCAATGCAAACGATGGCTGGAAGAATCACTTTGGTTTGTTGGTCGTTTCATGATACATACTGTGCTGTATTGGAAATCTACAAAACTTTGACTTCTGATTACTAATGTAAATAGTTAGTCTGTGCGCTTTGGTTATGCATGACTCTGCATTTTGGCCGAGAGAGCTCAACGCTGCAACTTAAGAAAACACATGCAAATTGAAAAAACACCAGCAAATTAAGAAAACATCTTCATCAGTTTGACAACACACACGCTGCAAATCCTCACAACACATGCAAATGAAGAAACGCGCTGCAAATAGCACGGACCACAACGGAAATGTTTCAAGGGGACCCAAAAAAGTGACGGACCTGTCTGGGATTTGTTTTGTGCAGTGGCTTTTTTTTTTTTTTGAGTTTCTGCTAGTGATTCCTTATTTTAAAATGTTTTCTTTATTGAAGATATAACATTCACAGGGGATACAGTCATAGCAATAAATTACATACACAACCAGAATACAAAACAATAAATATATAAAGAATAATAAAAATGAAAGATAAACAGAACAAAAACAAATAAATAAAAAGTTAAACATCTTTTTTTTTCTTTCTTTTTTTTAAATAAATAAATCATAAATAAATTAAAATTAAAAATGAAAGAAAGGACAATGGAATACAAATACAATGTGCAAACTTCAGTCAACTTGTTTTTGGAATGAAATATATATTGTTTTTCTGGAAAAAGCAGGCTAATTTTTCCCCACCCTCCACTGATTCCCAGCGAAGACTCCTCATACAGAACATGACTATGTGTCATTAACAGTGACTCACCCAGTCTTCTGCTTTCCACTGCGTTCCCAGCATGCTGTCGCTCTCCCACTAAGTGGGGAGGATCTGGACAAACTGGTTTTCGTTTAACACCTGCCATAAAATTAATCTGTTTTTTTGGTGCTTTTAATATAAACCGAAAATAGTTATTTAAATGCTGGTTTTGACATGAGAAAATAATACAGATGGGATATATAAAAAATAATACAGATATTTTAATGGTGTAATGTAATGTTTAGTGCATTTTATAATGTTGATATATTGCTTTTTTTCATTTACTTAATACATACACATTTTAATACTGTTCAAATTACTTCTTTATGAATCACACCAGTGGTTAATATCACTGAGATACTATATAATATAGTTTTTTATTAATGTTTCATTTTCATTTTCATTTTAAAGTTTTAGTAATTTTGTTGTGTTTTTTTTTTTTACATTTTCTTAATTTTAATTGCAGTTTTACTTATTTTAGTACATCAAGATAAACTAAAGGACAATAAGAAATGTTTCCTTGGCAACATGTTGAAATAAAATACATTTATATATATTTATATATATATATATATATATATAAACTAATCAGTAAATCAGTGAGAAACACAAATCTCTCTGAAATCACACCAGTTTATTGTACTGTGTATATACATCAACCAAGTTCATTGCACTTTTTCTATAAAGACATGTAGAATAAAAGCGTGACTGTTAATGAAAGCACAACGCTTCACTGTAATCATTCAGTCTTTAGCTAAAGTTCTGCTACTTGCGCTGACACTGATCCGGTCTGATAAACACGGGACCTGGCTCACTAACACGCCTCGCACATGATTCTGAAACTTCCTTCCCAGAAAGGTGTAAAGCACAGGGTTAATGCAGAAATACAAGCGAGCGATGTTACTAGTGACGTACTGTGCGTACAGAAGGCTGCTATTACACTGTCTAGGATCCTGATTCTCATTGATCATCATGATGATGTTATACGGGCTCCAGAATGCGAAAAACATCAGGACGATGATGAAAATGAGCCACACGGTGCGATGTTTGCCTACCATCCGCATGGCCAGGACGGTCAGCGTTATCCTGAAGTAGCAGTAGACGAATACAGTCAGCGGCAGGATAAAAAACAACACAAGCTGCTTATAGAGACTGAAGACTCTCCACTGAGCATCGCTGGAGTCTTCGCACACCAGTCCTTCCATCGGATACTCTTCAACAGTGAAATGGATGAAGGGTTGGAGGCTGGCGAGGACGCTAATGATCCAGACGACTGCAGACAGCACGACAGCGTAGCAGCTTCTGCGTCGTTTGTTGGCGACAACGCAATGCACCACGGCCAGATAGCGGTCGAACGTCATGAGGGTGAGGAAGAGGATGGAGCTGTAGAAGCCCAGATAGTCTGCGCCGGTCACCAGCTTACACAGAGCTTCTCCGAAGATCCACTGGTCCGAATGATGAACGGCTTGAAACGGGAGCGTGAGGGTGAAGATGAGGTTGGAGGCCACCAGGTTCATGAGGAATATATTTGTGACCGTGTTGAGCTTTTCGAACTTGTAGAGGACGAGCAGAACCACTCCATTGCCCAGTACGCTGGCGATGAAGATGACGTAGTAGAAGGGTGGAAGAAAATGTTGGCAGAAGTTGTTGATGGCGATGGTGTTGCACTGAACGGTTCTGCCGGTCATCAGCGAATAGTCTTCATAAACGTCTGGCGTTGTGTTAGGCGTTTCCATCATGGTGGCTACCAACGACCTGCAGGATTGAAGGAGCTTATTAAAATGAAAGGCTGGATAAGTAAGTCAGTAGAGATTGTAGACTTACCCACAGCACTGTTCACAGCTCGACTGGCCGGTTCATTAATAGAAACTGCAGGAGTTTGTGTGCATGTGTGTCTGTCTACAGCTGCACAAATCTGAATCATATCTTGAAATCCTCCTCTACTTCCTTTTTATGTGACGTCAGAATTTTCTCAAGACTCGACATGCATTTGAAACCTTGAACACATGCGTCATCACTGTCAAGCAACCACAGACCAATCACAAAGTGTCCATTACCTTTTATTTGAACAAAGTCATTCTAAGCAAATTAGATTTGCATCATTTAAAAATGTAAAGTTTAATGAGATCGCATCACTAAGTTCTGACTAAGTTACAGTTTCAAGTTATTTTATATGAAAATACAGTGAGTGAATAAAACAACAGATTAGACTTGAATGTTAGAGAGAAAAAGATTATAGAAGAGAAAATTGAGATATCAGTTTATTCAAGATTTCACTGGAAGAAAATACGTATGTAACGAGCACTTTGTATGGACTCACAAAAACAATATTTAAAATAATTACATCTCTCAAATGTGTATCTCATACCTTACACAGCTTAAATACTTTACTGCCAAAAGAGATGAAGTAAATCCCTTATGAGTTCCTGAACACACACGGAATTGAATAGTTTTGTTTTATAATGGTTTGTGTTCCTATTATTTAATATTCAATGAGGTTAGTGTGAATTTACCTTCCCTTCAGGCAGTGCAAAGAATAAAAATGTACACAAATATGTAAATAATATAAAACAACAATTGCTATTTATGAAATCAACCTAGCCAACAATTTAAAGCAGTTAGTAATTCAATTAAATATGAAAATATGATGGCTGTTGTGTCTTAAAAAGTCAAGTATTGTTGAAATCAAGATTAAAAACATATTTTTGCCAAACGCAAACATAAGCTTATCCCCTTTATTTTTAATATCTGTCCCTGAAGTAATAAAGCCACTTATTCTTAATCTTCATTAATACCAAACCACAAACGAGCTAATGCTTTTAATATTGCATCTCATATCTTGTTGCAAAAAAGTTCCTTGTTTAGGAACAAAATAGCCATTTACCTTATAATTAATATTCATAAGTAATGACAATAAATGTTAATGTTTATGACATTGACATCTATCCACATTAATATACTTGCAGTATTGTTTTGCAAATTATCTTATGTACGTACTATTGTGTAAATGGTGTTTACGCACCAACTCTTTGTGCATCAAAAGGCAGGTTTCATGTCATTAAATGTCACTCTAATGGCCGTCATTCATCTACAGGCCCCTGATGTTTCATTGCACCGGAACAATGCACAGATAATGTCTAAAGCCATGTCAGTAAATTCCTCTGGATTCTCTGCGGCGCTTCTGGCAGTCCGAGAGCTGAGCCCATGTGTTCGCTCAAGCGCGTGTGTTAGAAACCGGGCCCTTTGCTGTAGCGCTCATCCCTGAGGTCATAGGATTGGTAGCAGATGGACATGTCGCACACGCCGGCCGGCCCTGGAGGACCTTGCTTCCCCGGGATGCCCGGAGCCCCGGATTTACCCGGGATTCCCGGAGGACCCGGAATACCAACGCCATCACTGCCGCGAGGACCCTGGATCCCTGTTGGTGTTGAGGGAACACACAATCTGACAGTTACACAAGAGTCCTCCCCAATCGCTGCGTATGTGTGCCATATACTTCTGTCACATGATGAATCAGACATTATTACATTAACCCTCATAATGCATTCAGTATCTATATACTATTTTCACATGCTGGGTCTGTTTGGACCCAAAGACTTTTATAAAAGTCATAATGTGAAATGTTTCATCTGAAACAATGTACTTGATCTGGTTTCTGATATTGTAACTTCTAATTTATGAGTGAATGTCCAAACATTTTGAATGTGACCATGTTATTACCATGTAATTACTGCATTTAAAATTTTAGTTGTAATCTTCTTTTGTGTGTCAGTGGTTGCTGTTCTCTAAGTTTGATCACTGAAAATAATGTTTTTTGTTGAAATGCCTTGTTATTTAGTCATACATGTTAGTGGAACAGTTGTTTACCTACAGCTAATATTCCTTCAAATTTTGAGCGATGAAGAATAACAGTATTTCAGAAATTAGATTGTTCTCTAATTTTGATCTCCTGTGTGTGTGTGTGTGTGTGTGTGTGTGTGTATTCATTTTAATTAATATCTCTTGGTTGCTCAAAAACAGATCAAATTTATAAAACCTACATATGTATTTCTAACAAAACAACATAAATGTTACTTCAAGCTAAATAAACATTTTTTCTTCCATAAACCTTTACTTTCAGATGAATGCTGCAATGGTTGGTCAATAGGGGTACATATTCATGCTTATCAACCAAATTCAGTCCCAATAGTGTGTGAGATATGGGGAAAATGCAAAATATATTTTATACTTTTTTTTTGGACACTAACATAACCTTATGAATAATTTTTTTAGGTCCAACATGACCCGAACACAAAATTTAACTTTTTTGTTTAAATGGTAATACCTCTTTAAAAATAATTGTAAAAAATCTGACAAATGAATGAATGATGTGAATTTTGAGGGTCTTAAACCATATTGCAAAGTGAAATTAGATTGTTCTCTAATTTTGGTCTCCTGTGTGTGTGAGCGCCTGTGTGTGTGTGTGTGTGTGTGTGTGTGTATTCATTTTAATTAATATCTCTTGGTTGCTCAAAAACAGATCAAATTTATAAAACCTACATATGTATTTCTAACAAAACAACATAAATGTTACTTCAAGCTAAATAAATATTTTTTCTTCCATAAACCTTTACTTTCAGATGAATGCTGCAATGGTTGGTCAATAGGGGTACATATTCATGCTTATCAACCAAATTCAGTCCCAATAGTGTGTGAGATATGGGGAAAATGCAAAATATATTTTATACTTTTTTTTTGGACACTAACATAACCTTATAAATAATTTTGTTAGGTCCAACATGACCCGAACACAAAATGTAACTTTTTTGTTTAAATGGTAATACCTCTTTAAAAATAATTGTAAAAAATCTGACAAATGAATGAATGATGTGAATTTTGAGGGTCTTAAACCATATTGCAAAGTTTCGTTCCCTTACTAAAAACTACATATTTTTTTATTCTGGGTAGAAATGGACCTGAATGCGTTGTGGGGGTTAAAAATGTAGTAATGTCACTGTACCTGTGTCTCCAGGAGGCCCTGGGTATCCTGGTCTGCTCTCCCCTTTATTCCCCTTAAACCCCTGTGGGCCTGTGTCCCCTAAAAGAGTGCCAAACATGTTATGCAATTAAAATACAAACCCAAAGCCAAACCCTTTTACATAATCTGGAAGTGTTACAGCCAGACGCATCTGTTACCTTTGACTCCGGGAGGTCCTTGGATGCCCGGCGGTCCTGGGTAGCCCTGAGTGCCATGTCTGCCGGGATAGCCCTGGGGCCCGCTGGACCCTTTAGGCCCTGGAGATCCAGGGGGTCCCGGGGGTCCTTTAATGGTCTCACAGTGTTCACAGCGCTGAGGGCTCATCATCTGCAGGAGCTGCGGCAGCTGATCTGATAGAGATGCATTACAGTGGAGATCACTGAACAGCACTAGATGCACAAGGGGTCATATGATGAGAAAGCTAAATTTACTTGACTTTCATTCTAAAAAAAAAAAAAAAAACACACCCTATCGACATTTACACTGTCTATTTTCATATGCATCTTATTGCACTAAAATGTCAGTCATCTGGTGAAGCAACAGACTCTCTGTTGTCTGTTATACCACCACATTTACATGTCAATGATGCAATGCCAAAACATGTCCAATTTAATTCTAAGAGTTGGGAAATGGGAAGAAAATGGTCATAAGGAAACTCATGAGACTGTTTTGTAGCACAAAAACAGAAGCATGACTAATGGTGCTGTGTTCCAAGAGTCAAGTGAAGTAAAAATAAATCCACGATGGTGGACAGGCAACAGAAAAGTTGATAGTAAAATACTTTTTAAATCTAGGGTCATTCGAAAAACGTGCCAGTGCAACATTTCTACAAAATGATATGTTGATTCTTGCAAGTTTTGCGACACTTTCAGTGTTTGGTTTTATCCAAAACAGATAAAAGTGAATCTATCCACACGGTATACATGTTAATAAAACAGCATACCGGTACACGTGGCTAAGCAACGTGGACAGCTTCGTGAATTGAGAGGGATCCCTGTTAACTGCATAGTTAGAGAACTTTTAGAACTATTAATAACACACAGCTAATTCTTTAGGTGCTGAAGACGAACGCAAAGAGGAGAAAATACTGTAGCAGGCGCAGCAAACTCACTTCAACATGCGCAGAATATTGGAAGAAAATCCTAAATACTGAATTGGGGGTTTCTATGAATGTATCTTTGAGGGGCACTGACTGTCTTCAGGAAAGTTTCGATGGTATTTTCTTTTCATCTTACCTCCATATATAATGCATATTAATGTAGCATTTAAAACCACAGCAGCTGCTTTGTTTACAGCGGTAACCAAGGAAACGCTGTATCGCTGCTGTTCCAGAAGCGCCTCCTGCTGTCAGAGAGTGAATCTGCGTCTCATTCAGCTCGTTTACGTATCAGGCTTGTTCGTATTAAAAAAGGGAAAAGGAAAAGCTCCTTGGGCTCTTTGTTCTCGAGAGAATAATGACCTTGAACAAGGTCGGATACTCACTTCTCAAAATGTCCCCACAGAGTTGTATTAAGTACTCCTCTGAGGGAGGCTTACCCTGAAACACATATTGAGTCACTCATTAGATGGCGTCGCTACATGAAAAACACATACAGCTTTCAAAGAAATTATAAGTCTTCACGGATAATACAGGAAGAAACATAAAAAAGAGACTCAATTACACAGTCTTGACTTAAGGCCTTGTGGTTTCTTTCATGAATCAGCTGAAATGATGCGTCCTGACATTGCCCCAGCCCATGCCGTACTTTGTATACAATGTGTTTATTTCTTGCGAAAGGAAAAACCTGGTGGCAATAACAAAACTTTTAATTGCAGTAGTGTAGTTGTGAGAAATGTAAGAATACTCACAGGCTTCCCTGGAAAGCCCGGAGCGCCGGGAAGCCCTGGCAAACCGTCCTGACCGGGGAATCCACGCGGCCCGACTACACCCGTGTGTCCCATGTCTCCCTTCTGCCCGTCACGACCTTTGACCCCAGTCTCACCCGGCGTACCTTTCTAGTAGATTAAATACAGCCTACTGTATACTTGGATGTGTATTCTTCATGCAAGTGAGACTGTTGGATTTAAAAGCAGCGTTGAGCTGCACAAGATGTGGCCTTGCGTGATTACTGAACTGTGAAAAGGCTGCATATTAAACGAGCGTATCATTTAAATGCATAGCATGCTGCTCTGTTCTGTAGTGTACTATACATACTCCAAGCATGCTTGCTTATTTTTGGTTTGCTTATGATATGCATTTGCTGATTTTTTCCAAGGCAACTTTTGAAATTTTCAATTAAATTTACATTTTTCAACTATTTCAATTAAACAAAAATAGTCGACAATAACAACCCTGATAGCATGCCACCATATTCAGGTAGACTGAAAAATAAATAATGTTGTTGAGCAGCAATATGAAATGTTAAATGTTTTTCATATCAAAGATTAAATCGCAAATCACAATATTTGCCAAAATAATCACAATATGACATTCTGAACAACTCGTGCAGCTCTAGTGTGGAGCAAACATACAGTACAGAAATATTTAATAAACATGTTCAATTTCTCTAGAGGGAAAATATATATTCTTTTAAAGGAATATATAAACACAAAATAATAAATATACACAGGAAATCTCCTCTAGTTTCCACGGCATGCAGTTTGCCGGTTTGCTCTGACAGCACGCTGAAACCAGCTTAGTATAACCGTCAAGCTGTCAAATATAAACGCTTCAAAGCGCTGAGAAGTGCTCTGCTGTCCCATGTTACCTCCTTCAGGAGGCGGAGACCATCGTGTTGCTTGTGTAAATAGGCAGGATTTGTTTAAAGGTGAGTGAGTCGTGTAATTTTGCAAACCTCTCCTTTGCTGCCTCTGGGTCCCACTTCACCCTGATTCAGGAGGAACGAGAAAGAGGAAACTTTTTATGATAAAATCAGAGCGAGATCTGTTATTAAACACACAGACAGGCTCAGTATTGAGCGGGTGACGGGAGGAAAAGCTCTTCAAAGCCACAGCCAGGGAAACCCCACGAAATGATTCTCAAGCCCTGGCGTGTGTTTGCGTCACGAAAACATTTCAGTGTCGGACGGTTCAGACTACAATACTGTGTACGAGTTCATACGAGCAAGCAGTGAAGCTACTTTTTCAACAAGTAGAAGCACAGTGTTACAAAACCTTGGTGATTTTTCTCATGAGTTATTTCGTATGCATCCTTTGTGCTAGATAAATACTACTCTGATTGTAGATATAAGCTATATAAACAGTTATATATTTAAAAAAGACATACCTTCCTAAATGGCTTTGCCTGTACAGTAGTCAAATTTGCATGTGTACATAATGTTAATAATATCTATATGATGCTTTTTATATTGTATTATATGTAGCAACTATATGTCAACAATATATATTTTATTTATAAATTACATTTTATTAAAAAAAGTATTAAAATTTATATGTATATATATACATATACAGTATATATATAATAAAATACATCTTGTACATTTACATCTATAATGTCAACATGCATTGATGGGTTTATAGATGGATATAGATGCATGTGTCCAAAAATGCATTACGCAAACATACTTATTTGTATGGGCTAGATATATATGTTAATATCATTCCCGTTTCTAATAGGTATCATATATGTTTTTACTACAAATTACAATATTTCATATATGGAAATTGCTGTTTCATAACAGAGATGTGAAGTTTCGTTTTATTCTTGACACAAATCACTACATTAGTTGCTGGAACATTTATATCGTCAAACAGAGACCGTAAATTAATACTAAACCCTCCGACCTTTCAAAAGATCTATAATTTGTTAACATAATTAATATTTTTAGATAGTAGTCCATAGAGTAACTATAAACAAAGGTAAACAAATTGATGTGAAGCCCCAAGAGGATGAAATATGTCCATACAGTGTATTATATTTGCGTATGGGTGATGTTGATGAACGCTGCTTGCAAATATACATGGACCAATGACTTTTTAATTCAGAAACCTGACTTTATTCCATCTGAAGATTTCTCAAGCGTGCGATTGACAAAGACCTACACTCTTATCTCACACAAGCGTCTGTGACTAAGGTTTCTGGGGATTTACTGAGCTTTTTCACAGAAATCAGGAGTTCCCCTTCGGGAACTCGAGCTGCGTCGGAAAACGCTAGGGGAACGCCTTCAGCGATACCAAGCTCTGAATCTTATGTGTAATCAGTCGAACGATGGGCGAGACGTGCGCGGCGGGTGACGTCATGACCAGGAAGCTTTAAAAGCACGTGAGGTGCCGCCGGCGCTAGCTTTCTGTCATTCAGCGAAGCTCTCTGTGTGTGTCGGTCACGATTTATGTTCTGTGAGTCTTATTTATTGTTGTCTGTCCAAAAAAAGTGCACAAGCATCCAAAATAAGCTCCAGCAGAGAAAGAAAATAAATGTCTAAGCAAAAGACAAAAAAGGGCGAAAGTAGATCGCGTTACAGACTGTGTGTTCCTCCCTGCCCACGCTACATCACGAGCGGGGTTACACACAGTTTGTGTGGGATCTGCTTGGGAGCGGAGCACGCGGCGTCGGCTCTCGAGAGGGCTGACTGTCCGCATTGTGAGCAGTTGCCACTGCGTTTGCTTCGCTCCCGGAAGGCTCTCTTTGAGGAGGGAGCCTTCACCAGCGTTCCTCACGGTGCTGGCCCCGCTTCCGCCGAGGCGGAGCGGCAG